CGGTGCCGGTTGCAACCTCCCGAGGAGGCCTGCTCCTGCACACACGGCTGCTTGTCCCGGCGTGTCCCGCCTGGGCGCTGACGCGACGCGGGTGGCTGCAGCTCTCTGTAACGAGCGTGGGAGCGTAAAACTCGGGCATTGTGTGCGGCAGAATGACCCTCTTGTGTCTCCTTGACCTCTGTGCGGGGCAGAGCCCAGACTACATTAGTAACAGCTTTGCGTTCAGCCCTCGCCGGGCAGCGGCCCTGCGATCAGCCCACGCTGCAATCCCCTGCCCGCTCCCCCGCTCAGGGCAGCGTGGCCCCTCGGGAAGGGCAGGGGGAGGCCCCCAGAACACGTGGCCGTTTAAAAACCGGGCTCTGAGCATGGCTTTTCTGGGAAGGCCGGTGGTTTTGCTTTCACTTCACCCAGAACTACATCAAATGTTACCTAATGCTGTGTCTCTACTGGGGATTAGTTAGCGTTATCCAAATCTTGCCTAAAGCCAAGTTCCAAACCGGCTCAGGCTTAGCAGTGCGCCTCGCTGCACTGGTGGGGACGGGTGTTGGTGGCTTGGGGTCCTTCGGGCTCTAACGGTGGCGCGCATTTGGGACCGGGGGCTGCGAGACTCTTCTGCCCCGTCACGCTGAAGACGCTCTTTGCAGCTCTCACACACTGCTTTCTGTTCTCACCAAGTATTTCTTCTCCCGTAGGACTATATTTGCCCACGCTGTGAATCTGGCTTTATTGAAGAACTTCCTGAAGAGCCAAGGTAACGTGCTGCCCCAAGGGCTGTTGGTCAAATGAGCCTGGTCTGCTTTGCTCTCTTCCTTTTTCTAGTTAAAAGGCAGTGCTGGATACTGAATGCTCTGTTTTCACCACTTCTGCCCAGTATTTGGCTCCCCTTTCCTCACTCTGGGCAGGGTGCTTACTTTGGGTAGTTTGCATCTGCAGGTGACTTGGCCGTGGGAGTGCTGGGTGTTCTGCCTCGCTGGTAGAGGGCGGAGGAGGAATGGGTTGATTTAAAACAAACAAAAAAAAGTGGTGGAGAGGCTTTCCCCGTGGCGTGTTGTAGCTCTGACCAGGTTTGAATCATCAGGGCAGAGACAGCCCTCCGAGAGGAGTCTGCGGAACAGAGAGCGCGTGTGCTTCAGCGCTGAGAGCGCGAGTGGTGGAACGTTCTCACTGAGACTTTGGACTCTGCACTGGGGTAGCCGGGACCTGCGCTCACGTGCTTCCCCGCTGGCTCAGTGGTGGGACAGCTCTGGCGGTGTCAGATCGGGCCAGACCGGGAGAAATGACTTGGAGCGTTTCAGAGGCATTTGCAGGACCTCGGCCACGGCTGAGCCGGCCGTGCGGCGGGGGCACGTGCTGCTCCCTGCGCAGGGGAGCTCTGCACACCCAGAGGGCTCTGTGCCGAGACGGTGGCGTTTGGTCTCCCCACACCAGCCCTAGACTAATCCCGACCGTGGGGGTGATTCGCTGTGACCTTGGGAGGGTCATGTTGTGGCGGAACTTTAGCTTTTTGGTGCCACCCATGTCAAAGCGTAGACCTGGATACGGAGCAGTAAACGTTCCCGCATCTCTCCAAGAGCAGAAGCCAAACTGTTAAGAGTTTTGCTAATAATCTGTCCCGTCTGGTCACATGCCTCTGCAGTAGAGAAGTTCCTTTGATTCAAGATTAGACTTAAGCATGTTTGGGTCATAGTGACCAGAGATTGTACCTAAAGTCTTCTCTCCTGGTGCCCCGGAGGATTAGCTGGTTTGCTCGAGATGGGCTGTGTGGGGAATCCTTGCCTGACATCGTGGTTCTGTAGCTTCGTGAGGGAGAGATGGGTGCGGATGTGGGAAGATGAAGGTTGCAGGGAGGCAGAAGTGACAATTGATTTGGACAATCAGAAAATCAGTAGCTGGGGATGGAGTTGCTCCTGTGTGGAGCTGACCCTGCCCGGGGCTGGGAGGGCAGGTGGGCAGAGCTCTGAGGGCCCTTCGAGCTCCGGCTCCGTGTGAAAGCACGTGGGTCACTTGCCACGTGTTGCTGTTGGGCTGGGTCCCTCGTTCCTCCCTGCCACAAGCATCTTCCCGTAGCACCGTTGTGAGGCTGACCTGTGCTCTTTGCTCTGCGCAGGAACGCTGACAATGAGACCAGCTCTGCTACGTCCGCCAGTGATCAGAGCCGGCATCCTTTTGAGGTGAGGAAGTCCTCTCTGTCTCTTCCAACACTTTCTGCTTTGCCGTTGGCGTATTCCTCCGTTAGCAGGCTGTTTAAATGTTGCCCAGATTATGACAACAGTTGGGAAAGGCAGCGTTAATATCATCCCCACGCTGCTCCCAAAATCCCTGTGTGTCGTATTTTTGCTGTGTGTTTTTCATAGGACCGTCACTTGTAGCTTATTCTTGTGGTGAGGGGGCTAAGTCGGGATTTAGCGAGCTGTCTGGGTGTGTTGCTATGCAGTAGCCTCAGCTGTGGTTATTTCTTACCTTCAGATGTAGTTTCAGCCTGTATCTGTTCCTCAATGATCCACCTGCGCCAGCCGAGGTGTGCGAGCTGCCGGGGGCCGGCAGAGCCTCGTCTGGGTTGCAAGACTGGTGGGACACCAGGCGTGAAAGTCAGGAGCTGCTTCTCTCCTCGTTACAATCTGTTCTCGGAATTCTCTCCCTTGCAGAACGTGGATCAGCACTTATTCACCTTGCCCCAGGGCTACGGCCAGTTTGCCTTCGGGATCTTTGATGACAGCTTCGAGTTTCCGTTCGGGTCCAACGTGCAGTCGGAAGACAACCGGGACTCTGAGAACCGGAGGGAGCGAGAGCATCAGTCTCGGCACCGATACGGTGCGAGGCAGCCCCGAGCCCGTCTGGCCACGCGCCGTGCCACTGGCAGGCACGAGGGAGTGCCCACGCTCGAGGGGTGAGAGCAGTGGCCGGGTTCTTCGGAGGAGCCCCCTTAGTTCTCCCTGATGAGAGCTGGCTGAAAATCAGCCTGGAAATCAGGAACAGTCTTCAGTAGCCCGCTCCTGAGCACGGCTCCCCAGGGTGTTTTTCCTTTTCCTCCCAACGGTGTGACAGTATTTAGCATATTCAGCTCCTTCCGTGTCAGGTTTCTGGGCTGGGAGCTAGCAGACGTTTATTCTTACGTAATCCAGGTTTTTTTGTCTTTCAGAATTATCCAGCAGCTGGTCAATGGAATTATTGCACCTACAACAATACCAAACCTGGGACTGGGTCCTTGGTGAGTGGGAAGATGTGCTGCCCTTTCTGACAGGGTTCTTGTTGGAAATCCCGGTCGGATTTAATCGTTGTCCTTATTCTTAAAGGGGAGTCTTGCATTCAAACCCAATGGACTACGCGTGGGGTGCCAACGGCTTGGATGCAATTATTACACAGGTAAAATTGGCTCTGTAACGGCGCCGCCGCGCCTTGCGGGCAGCCCTTGTGTGCGGGGACAAACCACTCAAGGTGTGACCGTGGGAGATGGGACCCACGGTGCCGGGTTTGAGGGCTCTGGGTCAGGAAATGAACAGAATCTCTGTGCTGCTGGGCTGACGTGTGCATCTTCCCTCTGCGGTCAATTGTTTTTTCAGTTACTAAATCAGTTTGAAAACACTGGACCGCCGCCAGCAGACAAAGAAAAGATCCAGGCCCTCCCCACCGTACAAATCGCACAGGAACACGTAGGTATGTGTCTCTCCTCCAGGGAACTGCTCAGAGAGAGCTCTGAAAGTTCTGTCGACGTTTTCTTGGGGTTTTAATGTTGTCTGCTAGAACCTTCAAGGCCTAAAACGTTTCAAAGAGGGAGGAAGCTGAAGCATTGCACAAAGAGCAATGTAGAGGGGATGGATTAGCCCCGGGGAGGCAAACTGTTGTGAAAAGTTCAGTGTGGATGGAGATGAAAAAGCAGGAGGGAAGGGAACAATGAAGCGAACCCACATCATGGGAACAGTGAGGCAGCTTTCCCCTGCAGGGAAGGAGCAGCGGCGGGGACGGGTCGAGGCGGTGGGATCTGCAGCCGGGCGCTTTGGGTGTCGCTCCCTGTCACTCAGCTGTTTCGCTTCCCTCCGTGATACAGATTCTGGGTTAGAGTGTCCTGTCTGTAAAGAAGACTACACAGTCGGTGAGAACGTCCGGCAGTTACCTTGCAATCACCTCTTCCACAACGGCTGTATAGTCCCCTGGCTGGAGCAGGTTAGTGTCCTCGGGGCAGTGACTTGGGGCTTTTTTTTCTGGTGGTTCTGTTCTCTGAATATTTTCATACCTCTGTGATGAGGCCGAAGCGTGAGCAGCCTTTGATCAGAGGAAGGAGTGTCATCCTACCCTGCTCCTTGAGCGCAGCTCCGTGATCGTTTTTCTGATCCTGTTTCCCCTATTTCTTGTTTTGTTTTTGTCTGCTCTCCAAAGCACGACACGTGTCCTGTGTGCCGGAAAAGCTTAAGTGGACAAAACACTGCCACAAACCCCCCAGGACTGACGGGGATGAACTTCTCATCATCCTCCTCCTCCTCTTCCTCCAGCTCACCAAGTAACGAAAACTCATCGAACAACTCATGAATCTTAATCCACCCCCTGTCCCTGGGGCCCTCTCCACCGTCCCCCCTCCCTCCCCTGCCAACGTAAGCAGCGACCGGGGCTTCCAGAGCAGAGCGAGGGGAGGGTGGCGAGGGGGAAGCAGTGCCCCCAGGATTCCCTTTTGAGTTCTGAAGACACGGAGACTCCGGGTCCTTCAGAGATGAGAAGCCTCCGGTTCTGTGATGGGGGAAAGAGCTCTGTCTGTTAATAAAAACATCCATTTGCCGCGTGGACTTTTGACCGTTGCAGTGAAAAGCTGCTGCGCCCACAGGTGGGAAGCGCGAGGTGCTGAGCTGGTGGTTGCAATTCTGAATGGAAAGGTGGTTTGTATGGTTTTGGATTTGAGATTCCTTTATTTCTTTTGCTCCTCCTCCTCCCCTTGGATACTGTCTCTTCTGCTTTGGAGATTGAAGTCTTTTAAAAGGAAAGCGTAAGGATAATACTGCCTCCCTCCCGGCACCTCCAGCTGGGGAGGGCCAATAGTCGCTGAAGACGTGAACTCTTGAAATAGACCCCTCCATCCCACCCTCCCCCACCTCGAGTCCCATTTATTTTTCTTTGTAACCTCGCCCTTCCGATACTCAACACTGAAAGGGTTTTTATAATTTTAAATTATTACTGCTGTTAAATAAACAGACGTTTCAGCTCAATGAGACGTTATGCATGATTTGAGCAAAACTCTACAGGGTACGCTCTCCGGAGGAGGCTGCTGTGCTGAGCCGTCCCTGCTCGCCCCCAGGCAGGC